TTCGTCTCCGCTACGTAGTGACGTTACATATGACGTCATCAAGATTCAAATTCACCTCCAGCTTCTGAAATACCGAGCGCCAGTTCAGATCGTCCCGCACATTTCAGCGTCCCCGGTAAAAACACAGAGGATGCACGCGACATTTACAAAGCTCGTCAAAAGAGTCAGAGACAAATATGTTTTCCCGTTCATATAACAGCTTAACAATGTAAAAGTTATGGGCGAGAGAGGTATAAAAGAAAAAAGAAGAGGGGAAGAAGTTGAGGAGAAGGAGGAACACGAAAACGAAGAAGAAGAAGAAGAAGAAGGAGTAAACAAAGAAGAAGAAGATTAAGAAGAAGACCAAGAAGAAAGAGAGAGAAAGAGATAGAGAAAGGGGAAGAAAGGAGCAATATTTTGAACTTGATAAATGTGCTCTATAAACTCTTTATGCTTCATTCTGTCTCAATATTGGCATGGAATATACGTTGATTACTCTTCCGTCCAACTATTTATGTGCAATTATGATTAATGCGTTTGAATATTACCCTTCCGCTATGGGCAGATGAGAAATGATATTCAGCAGAAATCAATTTGTTCTGATTTCCAAGTTGATGCAGAGATCGAAAAAAGGTTTGTTTAAAGGTTAAACACAAAACAAAGAAACAATGAATAAATAGGCATAATTCTGTTCTAAGTATTATATTTTGCGATTCTTTTTTTCTTCTCAGGAAAACAAAGAATTTGCAATTCATGACCTATCTAAGATTTTGGTTTCATTTCCAAGTGTCTACCAGGGGGATAGTTGCGATGTTGATTTTAAAACGGTTGAACAAATTATAATAATAATGTTCTTTTAAAATACTTTTAATACTTTTAATATACATTATATACGTATCCTAAAAGAAAATCGCAAGAATCTAAAACGATCCTTTATGCCGTATATTATATTGCTGATTGAAATTGAATGACGGACTATATCTACAGGGGCGCAGGGCAATACAATATGTGGGAAGCATCTCAAAGACACTAAAATATCCGATGGACAGCATTTTCGTTTATGACTGTTGATAGGAAAAAGAAAAAAAAGTAAAACATGAAGAGAATTGTTCAATATTTACTTCTTTGCTATTTTCCCACTTCCCCGAAGAAGCAACAAGTGGAGTCAAGAACGTCGGGTTCCAACATACTCACGCGATAGAACTTTTTCATTTTCTGTTTTTTTTTTCACGCTGCAATGACGTCACCTATGACGTTATTCTGGTACTTTAAACCGAATTAGTATTTGGCGCCAAGTTTTTATATCACAGTGCCTGAAGGTTGTCTCGATTAATTCAAGAGATAATTAAAGAACGGACTAGGCCTAATATAAAATATATTCAGTGGGAGAGCTGTTTAACCGCTTATCAAATTACCGCCGGTGTCATCGACTTATATATACTCGAGCAGAGGATAAAAAGGGTTCGAAACTACAACGAAATACAGGAATCACTGTTGATTACATTTATAATACAGGGTATACATGCTACTTAAAAAACACCATCGAAGTCTTTATTCAGTGGAAAGATTTTCGTATACACTTTAGGAGAGGATTAAACAAAAACTTAAGTGAAATTTTCCGAACATGATTAAGTTTGTAATTTTGAGAACTCTCCACAAAATGTACCTCCAATCTGCTGATAGTCGGGTATGCAACCTTGAACTGTTAAAATGTTGCTTTCTTTGAAATAAATTAACATTACTATAGGAAAACTATTTGATGATTCAGTATCCATGGTAACCAGTAATGTAACTAGTACATTGAACCCTAACGGTCGAAATGGCCTTTGAGTTGCACATGTGCTTCGAGTGCCTTGAAGTTCTACGCATAAAGGAGTATGTGATCATCGAAAATCTGAAATGTCATCGTTAGAAGCTAAGTGTATTTTTTAGGATTTTGCGCGAGCGATGCATATTATTTATTTGCTGAGGCTTTAGGGACGTTTTCGAGTCATTTAGGGCAGTATGCATTCATGAACCACCGAAATTCGCTCAAGAATATGAACTCCGAAATTGAAAGGAAATCATGCTTCCGCTAGAAACGAGACATTCATTCCACTCGCCTGCAATTATCATTTAATATCAACGTCGATTGCTTTTATGGCGAGACATTTTGAGATGTAGGCAAACATGAACAAAATATGATGAATTCAAGGTAACATTCATTTGACGGGGCTGGTGAATATATATTGACATTGAAAATGACGGGTTATTGTAAAGGCTTGTCTGTATTGATGATGATTGGGAAGAAGGAAATGAAAGATTTGTTTTCTTATGAAGATCCCAAATATGAAAGCTGGATTATAAAGGCTGTGAACATGATATATGTTTATTTATATGTTATACAAATGATATATGTTTATTTTGCAAACGAGTATATTTTTGTAACTGTTCTGTATAAATGTTATAAACGATGTAAATATGTTCATTCAGGGCCCCATGGAAGACCACTACTTGTTGGTGAATGGGCTACCCTGTCAAAATAATAGAAATAAATAAATAAATAAATAAATAAAACATGAATGGCGGTTAGATGTGAATCATTGCCTTTGACAAATATCTGAAAGACACATTAGTCGCTAAGGTGGCAGATCAATTATTTTTCGAAAAAGGAGGCTTAATGTTAAAGCCTATTTAACAAGCAATCAAAAAGAGAAACAGAAAGGCGGAGAGAAAGAATTTTGGAGGAATTTTTCCCAACATCTAGCACAAATCATAAACTATATAGAAAGAAAGAATTGTAATTTAGATCGTTTATCATGCTCTATTATAAACATTCATCTTGATTAAGAATAGTCAAGTAATATATTATAACAGTATTTATCCCATCATGTTATTTTTAAATGACTTGTGGTAAATTACGGAATAGGCAAAAAATAGTATGGGAGTGATAGACAGATAAAGAGTTATGAGATGATGGGAGGGAGACAGAGAGAGAGAGAGAGAGAGAGAGAGAGAGAGAGGGGGGAAGGGGGGAGGGGGAGTGGAAGGTAAGAAACAGAGGCTGGTAACCTCATCATATACATGAATGATTTATGTGAAAGTAATCGTCTCATTTGTCATATCAGACAGACCGTAAAATGAAGTCTTCTCAAGCAGTTGTTTGAAGTTCAATTTCTACCACGGGCTGTTCGTTTTAATACACGTTAGTATAAATCATACATGTATGTTGACGAATGTTACTCCTTGTGAGAATGACATGGTGGAAATTTGTCATCAAATTGTCATGTATTTCTTGACACCCAACGAAGAACAACATCGTTCTCAAACTCTCCCATATCAAGTATCACGCTCTTGACGTGTTTGGTGTTACGAAATCAGGGCGCTGTGGACCCGCCCCCCCCCCCCACTCCGAGAACGGACGGATCCCATGCGTGTTCCCAAAATGTCCTTTTCGTAACAAAAGAAAAAGGTGGACCCGTATTGACTTTACACACCGGACTTTTGCTGAAAGGGGGGGGGGGGGTGCTGAAAAAGGCTCGTATAACAAAAGAAAAAGGTCGACCCGTTTTGACTTTACACACCGGACTTTTGCTGAAAAGGGGGGGGGGGGTCGCTTGGAACACGCATATGCGTACCCTAAATAACACTGAGTGGGGGGGGGGGAGCGGGGCTGTGGAATACATTACTTGGCTATTTTTAAGGATTCTCTCAAACTGTAACGAAATGCAATCAATTAATACAACATACAACAAATTCACACCGTGCACCGTGTTAGACTGTATTATCTCACAAAAATATGAAATGCAAATTGATCTATCAAATAATAACGATAGAAAAGAGAGTAATCCTATATAAAAGTTACATGTATGTTAATGTTTCACTCGAGTTCGGACAACCTCGAATTGGCGCTTTCGTTACATGAAAAACAGTCCAAGATTGTCCTCACGATTTTAGCGGGGAAAGGCCACTTCCATAGTAAGTGTCAGATGAGGAGATCGGGTAACAATCTTGTACCCAATTAGTCTTGATCTTTACGCGCGGCTTGATCGATTGCTGAAACATTTAGATCGTCGAGTGAACGCAAAAGTCAATTTGTTGAGAAATACACGCGGGGGAATTTCTTGACAGATTAAAAGCGTGGCAAACGTTATTTCCCTTTCGTTTGTTTCCCGGCCATCTGATGATTCCAGTCGTGCGTTTGGGAGCATTACTTTAGGTGTGATTCGCTTAGTTCGAGCTCTGACATTTAGCCTCATCAAACCAGAGGGTAAAACGTGGGCTTGAAATATTGATGTCTCTTCCTTGACGTTTTTTCCCTTCTCACTATAAGAAGACAAAGATTTATACGGGTAGAAATCATTGTAACGATATCCTTGATTTGTTGGTTCTACGGTTTATGAAAGTTTAAGGAAGAAAGGAAAGGAAGAAATTTACAAAGTGATAGAAAGAGACAGGTGGTATATATAGATTTTAGGAGCGCCAGGAGTGTCAAGTCTGACAGACATGAGCGCTATACAAGAACCCACTATTATTATTATTATTATTAATCACATTACCTTCTCTCCAATGTCAATGGCAGGGTTTTCCCTCTTTGTCATTAAACAGTTATGTGTACATCTTCCACCACCTGTATCTGATGTCGATAAACCAATAGCCCCCTCTTAATTACTATTTTCCTTTTTAATACGCCTCCTACATTCTAACTCTTCATTTCTTGATCCAAAGGTACAGTGGCGAGCTTATGGGCACAATGTAGAAGATTTGGCTCACACCTTCACACAAATCTTGCCGACAGAGTAGCGTTCATCCAAACTGATAAAACACTTCAACTTAGTCGGGATACCTTATTGCATGGCATATGGGATATCAGGAGCGTTTCTTCAAGCTCGATATGTGTCATAAGGTATCCCTCCACATTCTTACAATTTGATTGATTGCATATGGCATTGCGTAATCGTGATGTCAACCCCCAGACTTTTGACGTATTAATACACCAATGTGTGTATTTGTGTGAGGGGGTGGAGTGGTAGCCCAAAGAAATTCATTGTGACATATACATATTATAAACTCAAAGCCGTGATGGATATCCTTCTCTGCCCAGTAGATACATTGAACATAAGACAATACTAATAATGAGATGGTTTGAGTAATCCTACCTTTGAGTGGACTCCTCATATCTGACACTAAACGTTAAAATTCCATAGGCTTCCTCATTGGCATCGTCTTTTGATGGCGACTGCGTCTTATCCAATCCGGTCTGCGCGTCTTCCATCACGTAAAGTTCGGGCCGAATCTCCCCGAGATCGCACATCCGAAAGTTCTCGAAGCTACGCCTCCTTCGGGAGTCAACGGGGGAAGGCACTGTGAGTGTACTCGGGCTGCTGGCTCCGGACATGCTCGAGGAGCGCTTTCGGTTTTCATCGTTAGGGTTCGCGAACTGTTCGTCAGGTCGAGGTCTTCGCATTGAGGCAGCTCGTTTCATAGGGCTTGTACCAGCGGGTACCTTGGCACTGCCTTCAGAGGAGGTGCTCGCATCATCGTCGCTATAGTAAGGGTCCAGCCCTGTGAGAGGATCAACATGAAACATTTTAATAGGCGTTTACATTCAATCAGTGGTATGTCATATTATCTAGACAAGATAGTGAAGACTTGCAAGAAATCATCTTAAGGGCTTTTCAATGCGTTATTGTAGGTCACAGAGAAATGATGCTAGGATTACGCCATACGCAATTGTTATGTTTGTGTTTTAATAAGTGATAGACAGGGCTGCTAAAATTGCCCTATACACTGTTTTTAGGTTTATTTTTTTGAAGGTCATTGCGATGGTGTTTCACCAAGATAACAATAGTTGTACGATATTTCACAAGATCAACTACTCTCTTAATTTCTAAGACTTATTTTAAAGTCCAAAGAATTTATTCTAAAGCCAAGGGGGACTTGGATCAGGAACAGTCACTGATCCAAGTCCCCCTTGGCTTTAGAATAAATTCTTTGGACTTTAAAATAAGTCCTAGAAATTAAGAGAGTACTACCTGACAACCGTCCCGGCCGCGTCATTTTTTTCTGCGGCACAGATTGGGGCTTTTTTTAAAAAGAGGTCTTGATTTAACCCTAACCCTAAACTTTCCCATAGGCTCAACACGCACCTAACCCCAATCTGTGCCGCAGAAAAAAATAACGCGTCCCGGCCCACTTCCTCTCAATAATTTCCCCCCCAAAGTCATGATAAGAATAGTGTTTAGGGGTCATTGCACTATGATGTGGTTTTCCTACCCGTGAGTGTACTAGGGGCCAGATGTCCGGTTGTAATATCATAATTCATAGTGGTCCGGGACAAATGTCGGGGATAGCTGCCTCGACGATGTTTATCCTACTAATAGTTGTTTTAAGCCATACCCAATTCTTGTTATTTTAAACACGATTGTAAAGTGATTCCAATGGGCTTGTACGACCCCTTTTGAAATGTGCGAATGTTGCAAAGACTTATTGCGTAATCCGAACATGATTTATATGGAATATAATATAAGGTACTGGATTGACTTTGAGTTGATTTGTATAAAGTAATGACTATAATTAATATAAAAACATAATGATGGGTTCTTGTATAGCGTTCATGTCAGTCAGATTTGACCCTCCTAGCACTTCAAGGAATAAAATTCATATCGGGTACCCATTTACTTCACCTGGGTGGAGTGTGGCAAATGTAGATCAATGTTTTGCCCAAGGACATTAGTGCGGCGGCGGGACTCGAACCGCGGACCTTCTGATCGACAGTCCAGCAACGTATCCACTCGACCATTATGATTATGATGATTTATCTAATCTCTACTCAATCTCAATAAAATAAACTATTTGTAAAGAAATTAAATGTTTACAACATCTGAAAAAGGAAACCTTTGCTCATATAACATTCAACACATCTAGTCGTGAGAAGGTTGTTCTCATAATAGTACACGTGGCATACCTGAGTGCTCAGATCCCGAGTCCTAAAGTATGTGGATATTTTGATTAAGCTTCATTTGGCTACTCAGACACACCAACCCTTGATCATTGCCTCATTCTGGCATATATGACGTCACAAGTGTCGTATATTGTTAACTGGAAAGGTTTAAGGCAAGCCTGATTAGTGCACGATCTAGATTGCACTGCATTAAAGTATCATGATTTTGATGATAAATGCTTTGACCGCAGTCGCGATGCTGGATTAAGCATGTCTAAATCATTTTGTTTTGATACTCGCGAATCATAATATGTAATAATAATAATAATAGGTATTTATATAGCGCCCTTATCTAGACATTTCTATTCCGAGGCGCAGAAATGTATTATTACCCCGGCTTTAGCCTAGCTGCATGCCATTACAGCGCTCTGGCATTTCAAGGAATTAATTCCTGCCAGGTGCCCATTTACATGAACCTCACCTGGGCCAAGCGTGGCAAATGTAGATTAATGCATTGCCAAAGGACACAATGCCGTGTTGAGGATCGAACCACGACCTTCGAATCTCAAGTCAATTGCTTAAACCACTCGACTACGACACTTCTACTAAACATGCTCCCTGTCGACACACAAAATTTTCCGTGATTAGGCGTGATTAGCTATACCGTTTCGCGATAGTTTTACGACGAAATTGTGTGTGTGGACGCTCACTAACGAAACATCGTACAACGAAACGTCGTATAACGAAACGCATGTGTGGGCATCGTTTCGAACTAGAACTCAATAAAGAATCTCGCCTATTCACGCCTAATCACGGAAGGTGTTGTGTGTGGACGTAACTAGTGTAACTAGTGTAACTAACTGGGCGGGGCTTAACGTGACCTAGAGCGAAAGGAGACCAGACCTCTCATTTCCGCTTCCATTTCATGACCGCATAGTAGCAAACTGCGCACCTATACGACATTTCGCTGTAGAGTTTCAGGATTACTTTCTTCTGTGTGTGGACATCCTGGAATTTATACGATGATTATTTATACGACGTTTCTTGTGTGTGGACACTCTGAAATTTATACGATGATTCTTTATACGACGTTTCGTTATAGAGTTTCGGGATAAATTGTTTTGTGTGTTGACACGCTGATGGATGTGTCTGTATTATGCAATTGCATTAAACATGGGAATGTGGCGTAAACGTTTCACTTTAATATCAAATGCGTTTTCTTTCTTTTTTCTTTTTCATCGTTGGTCGTCATGTCGAAAAGATACGACCTCACACTCCTTTGAACACTATTTCAAAATGTCACCTTTTAACATTTATCCCTTTTTGTTAACATTTTATTACAATATGATTCCCTTTTTTACCAGCCTATTCACTCGTCATTATGTCAGTCTGAATGTACTTGATACTTATGACCTTTCATCTTAAACTTACACCCTAAAAGCCTTTAGGGAGGGGGGGGGGGTGGGGAAAGGTGAGTAGAAGAATAATATATATGAAGGAAAATAAGAAAGGTCAAGAAAGGATATGAGGAAAACAGACAAAAATGAAGCACAATTATTTGTCTCAAATTACCAATAAGGTGAAAATTGTTTTCATTCGATCATTAGGTGAACTGTCAACGCTTTTAAGTTAATGACACTGAAAACATGCCCGCTAATGGTATTGTGATTAATGTTAAATTATTTCGTTAGCGACATAATTTTCAGGCGACGTATAACCTTTTATTAAACACATTTGCTAAAACTTCGATATACCTCACGGCACTCACACTTCAGTCAACTGATCCAAACTAGCAAGAATGTCACATTCTATTTGCGATGTTCGATTTAGAGTAAGGTTCTGGAAATGAGGTTGCGGAAATGACTAGGATTCTTATCCGGCCCTACATCTGACATATCAAATTCCTCGGTAGAAAGTCACCCTTTAGATCATTCTTTTTTCAACCATTGCCTCCTGGAACTGGGTGGGCGCTGTTGTAAACCCATGTGAAATAATGAGAATTATTCGCCTGGGGATTTAAATGTCATATAGAGTAATGAAAAGTGTCACAATTATGAGGGTGTGTTAAATCTCTTACTGCGGATAGGCGAAACGTTTTATAAATCGTTTCAATTACACTTGCGATATATATTCAAGCGTCACTTTATAGACAAGAAAAGAAAGACTTTGCTATGTCCCATGTTTTTGTTCATTTTAATGTCTTAATTTGAAAATAAATTGAATTTGAATATCATTTTACAGAATATTTGTCTTATAATAATATTAATAATAATATTTTAAGGTCCACTCCAAATTTTATCAAATTAAACCGAAAATGGAAATTCTTTATGCCCAATCGATCGTGAGCCCGGCAGCCACTCATCGACGTTGCTCTATCCCTTATTGTTGAACGCCAAACAAGGTAGCAGCAACTCCCGTCTTTTAACGTCTTTTGGTATGACGCGGCCGGGGTTCGAACCCAGGTTGTGAGGCGGACGCTCTACTGACTGAGCCAACACACCGGTATCAAGTAGACCTTAAAATTATTTGATTTACGAATACGATAAAGAAGAATATTAGCTGTGATTATATGATTCACATTTTATTTCTAATGATGTAAAAGTTATCACTCTTTTTATTCTTCTCAACGAACAAAAATTGTGGCTTAACAATTTGCTGTGATTAAGCTACATGTACATGCGGTTCTACTAGCCAGTGCAATGAACTCTTAAGTGAACTTTCAGTGACGTCCAGAACAGCTGATATTGGTATTAGATGGTCTTAAACATACTGCAAAAAGAAAGGAAAAAATCGATGTTGGCGCTGCGACTTGTTAAATCGTTATTTGAGCTCGAAAAGATGGGGCACATTAGGACGCTTGGGAACAATGTATATTAGCATAACGAGCTAGATAACGAGTCGTAAAATAGAAAGCAATGAGTCTGTCTAGCCTTAATGAAGAAGAGAACATAATCTGCCACATTGATGTGCCTGCAATGGAATTGTACAAGAAATTTATTCTTTTGAAAAATTATTAAAACTATGCGTGTTATGAAAAAATTATCTGGACTTACGAAACAGCCATTTCGTCATTTGTTTAAATTTACATTTATTTGTAGTACACTTCTGTCCCATGCTATTATTTTTAACTTTACTTCCAGTGTTTTTTCTTTCTCCATCTTCTTTAGTTTGTATTATCCTCTTCTTCTGTGTAACTTACTTTTTGCTTAGGGTTAAAAAAAAACGTGTTCTTTATTTTGCTCTTTCTTTACGTGAATTTATCTGCTGTTTCCTCCTTTCACATTCTGACTTGCTCTTTGCTTCTTTATTTATTATTTAAACAAATATTTTATTCGGTTTCGTACGGTATTGATCCTGTGGATTTAGGGGTATTTCTGTCGCGAGGAAAAGTCGGTCGACTGGGATGACCCACTAGCTAACACTGCTAGTATTAAATAGAATACAATTAATACAAATGTGTTAATCGAATTGCAAGTTAATCAATCAATATGCAAGGCTGTGGTAGCCGAGATAAAAAAAAATAGCCTGTATAATCTGCTAAACAGTTTTTAAGTATTCATGTATTTGCGAGAATTAGGAGGCCAGCGGGTAGAAAATGTCAGTTTATCTTTTTCACGCACGT